TATGTATATATGTATATATGTGTATGTATATATGTATATATGTGTATATATATATGTATGTATATATGTGTATATATGTGTATGTATGTATGTATATATGTGTATATATGTGTATGTATGTATGTATATATGTGTATATATGTGTATATATGTATGTATATATGTGTATATATGTGTATGTATGTATATATGTATGTATGTGTATATATATGTATATAAGTGTATGTATATATGTGTATGTGTGTATATATGTGTATGTGTATATGTGTATGTGTGTATGTGTATATGCGTGTGTGTGTGTGTGTGTATGTGTGTGTGTGTGTATGTGTGTGTGTATATGTGTGTGTGTATGTGTGTGTGTATATGTGTGTGTATATATGTGTGTGTGTATATATGTATATATATGTGTATGTATATGTGTATGTATATACATATATGATGATAGATCGATCTATCGATCGATCTATCATCTGATTTATGTATTATTATATCAACCTTTACTTTATTATGCGGTTATTACCTCATATAGAGCGGATCAGGGGGCCAGATCATCCCTGGCCAATGCCAGAATATCTTCTTCAGAACTTGTGATTTTGCACTAACATGAGTATGAACATCATGGCAGAAAAAGATGACGAGCGCTATTCATTCCTCTTCCAAGCCATTGTTGTGGTTCAGTGTACTGCTGACCTGACTTCATAGTGTCTGACCTCTCACCTGCTGAAGGAATACTTCATCACCCGAAATAATCGCTCTGTTTCCCTCTCACGCCTCCACGAAGAATCAAAAGAAGTGAATAAAGTCTCGATGAATCAGTGTATGGGTTCTGCATTTAATAACAGCATTTACAAACTCTCTCACAACTGGTGCAACATAATCCAGCTCACTGCTCCCCGAACACAAGCATCTAAAGCGGGTTTACAAATGATCATGTTCTGCGGTGAAGTATTCCATGTCGCTTGTTTACGTGTGTTGGGTAACGCAGGATATCTGTGGAATTCATCACACACACACGAATGTTAAATGAACAGAAAGAAGCCCATTCTCTAAATGCAACACTCTGCCATTTATTAACTTGGATTGTTATGAATTGGACTTGATGCCTAGTAGTTTCTGTGTTTTCATTAGATTACCTCCAGACAGGAAGTTCTTTTAGTAGATGTTTTTAGAGCCAATGCTGATGGATCTTTCAGCAATTAATCAAACCACCAGTGCTAAAGTTTAGTCTGCCTGTTATTCCAGTGAACTGTAGCGATAACATCAACCTTTATTAACACTTCAGCAGGTGCCAGTGAGTTGTCCAGAAATGCAGCCGTTAGTTTGGACACAGCAACATGCAGCTCGTGCAAATGTGGACTTGAGAACCAAACGACCAAACAATCGGAACACAGTCGCTCCTCAGTAGCATTTCTACAAGTGATTATCCAAATACATGTGAGCCAGATATAATGTATGCTAGCATCAACTTCTACATGATTCCATCTTTGTTTTCACAAAGTATTTCAACAAGTATCACTTTTCAATTCTTTTGATACTTGTACGTGTCGGATGTGATCCTGTTCACTGAGGATGGGTTCTACGGGACGATGCATGTGTTTCTCGTGTACAACATTTCTAGTATTGTAACTGTGAAAAGAAGATGACCTCTGGGTTCTAATTATCAGTCTGTGATTATTTTGATAAGTTATTTCTTACCATGCCGTATGTGTTGCTGTATGTCAGCTTCAGACATTGAATTGGGAATAAAAATAAAATTGTATGTACAGAGAGTTCATGTTGCCTTTGTAATGTACTTTTACTTCTGACCTTGTACTGTCCCACTGTAGCATCTGATATATTTATGTACTGTGTATATACTGAGAAAGACATCTAATTACAAAATCCAGACTGAGTGAACCATGGTTTAGATAAAAACACATGCGGGCATGTCGAGCAACAAAGCAGAGACTTTACTGAATGAGCGCTGGGTACCAGCTCCTCTCTGTGCAGTGTACTACAGTTCGTCTCTGCTGGATTGCTTCGTGGCCCCCAGACATGCTGTGTAGTAATTTGATGAAACACTTTGATTTAGGGATGTCCAACATGTAGGAGCCAAACTGGAATAATGAAGGTCCAGCAGCTGGATTTGATCGCAGGAACCTACCTGGAGGCCGGGCACCGAGATGAGGTGAAGAAGTCACACAGGCCCTTCTCATGTCGGGTCGGCTTTGTGCTGCAGATTCTCAAACATATTTACAATCCAATACGCACAAACCAGCTGATGCACTGCTGGCTCGGCCTGGAGCTTCTGTGGCTTCAGGTCAGTTGTCTGGTGGTAGAGACAACAGTCTGTGAACCAAGTCCAAGATGAAGTTCATGTTTTCATTTATTAACCGAACGAGATGGATTGGAGAATAAAATGTGTTTTTGCAAAGATAACTGGACTTTCATTTATAAAGCGCCTCTCTAGTCTTCATTATGAATCCCACTGCTCTTCATGGCAAGACCTGCCCCTTTTCTGTTTGAGGTACAGACCATTGGTTAAGGTCCAACAAGAACCTGGAGAGTTCGGGTCAGCATAGCCCCATTGATCACGGCACAGGCCCCGAACACGGCATCTTACCAGCACCTCAGCGAGCACGGACGTCAGGCCAATCCTGGCGCTCGAATGCTGCACAGGGCGGGTCTGGCCAAGAAGAGCAGTGGGATTCATAATAACGCCTCATTGAGGCTGCCAGACCAGGTGCTGCCTGCTCATCGGCTCTAGTTGAATCATGCGCGCGCACACACGCACACACACCGTGTTGGCCAAGGACACTTCATGCGAGTGGAGGAGCCGAGGATCAAATCAGTGTAAATTGTCTTCATTAGTTGCTTAGAAACAGGGTGAGTTTTGACCCACATCGCCATCCCTACGGCTGCTGCTGACGTGGCTAAAAACACCGTTCACCTGTAACATGATGCTGACTCACATTTTAAAAATGGCAGCATGACCAAATACACAGACAGGTGCTTTTGCTACTTTTATTGATTTGAGTGAGTGCAGCATTGAAGCTGACTGTAGGTTGATGCAGGAGGCCGAGGAGCCACGACAATAGAAGGTTTGGTGAGAGAGTGGTGTTTGAAACTATTAATTATTAGAGATAAAAAAACTAGTTTGGCCCGTTTCACCTCATCACTTTATGTACAAACGGTGCTACTGTGTTTTCAGTGCTGATGGGAGGACACCATGTGGTGCATTGGCCAAACAGTACAAAATACAATATATTGGTGGTGTTTTAATTAGATTTGAAAAAAACCTAAACCCACAAACAGTCTGTACATCTGCTGTGTACAATACTCTGAGTGAGAAACATGGTTACAGTCTGTGTACATGAAGGAGGTTTAGTGCTCTGAATACATTTCAATCTGTGGCCTGCCTGGAGAACAGCAGCACTTACTGATGTTAGAGTGGAAAACCAAAGTGAGACGTGATGTTGAACAGAACACGTTTCTCAAGTCAGGAGAAACATCCGCTCTCAGTCGGAAATCTTAAAATCTGAATTTCTTTGCACAAAAACCAACTGCTCGCCAAGTTCAACTTCCTCTGCTGTGCAATGCATTAGAAAAATAAACCTGATGTTTTACAGTCGATGATTGGTAAAAGCAAGTCGTGTCAAGTAGATAACTATAAAATGACATCTGAGACTGTTAAATAAGAAGAAAAGAACTCGAGGTAAAAGTAAGATCAACGCGGCTGTTCTGGAGGACTTCTAGTCTGCAACATGGAATGAAGTGAAAAGGCACATCACATTTCTCAAGCCGACACGTGAACTTCAGTGAATCACATGAACCCTCGCGGTGACGGACGTTCTGATGTCAGAGGAAATGTTCTCCGTTACCGACAGCGACTGCCTTTCTTCAAGGAAACAACGTTCCCAGTGAACCGGCTGCGGAACGTCGGACTTGTCTTTACTGATGAGAACACGGTCACAGTCCAAAGTATTTCGGAACCTTTTTTGGACGTTTTCATCGTCGCTGATGTTTCTTGGCTTTCATAAAAACAGCTTCTTGGTCGCAGATCAGAAGACCAACGAGAGGTTTACAGGTTTCTCCAGAGCGTGTCGAGTGTCGTCTTAGTTCTGCCTCCGTGTGTGAATGTTCATGTTTGTGAGCTGAGGAAGAAAACGGATAAAAACTAAACGCTTTGGTCCATGTGTGACCCACGTTGAGCTGTTCAGGTTCATGTTCCAGAGCCACGTGATGGCGGCTCGCGTCCTAGCAGTCTGGGGAAACCCCGTTTGTTGTCTATCCGTTCTCCTTCCACAGTACTAAGTGAATGCTATGGTCGGGCATGCTGGTGGCAAACACCAGTCCAGAGTCATTGTCCCCGTCCAGCCCGTTGAGCCAGGACGTCACGCCGGCCAGGAAGCTGGACCCCCGCTTGGATTTCCTGTAGGCCGGTAGAGGCCAGCGGCCCGAGATGGCCTCCGTCCTCAGGTCCATCACATACAGGAAGTGGTTGTCGAAAAGCAGCGCGAACACCTCGCCGAAGCTGAGCAGGGACAGGTTAGCCGGGTCCTGTGTCTTTATCACCCTGAGGGACGGGAACAGGCTGCATTAGAGTTCTACACACACCAGACCATGACACTGAGCACACTGGGCTGGTAGGAGGACAACTGTTCCTCAGTGGAAACTGATGATTGATTTATTGTTTTCAAATGAATAACCCATTTGATTTCAGCCTCATCACCCCCCCCCCTCGTTACTCAAAACGTACCAACTTAACCTGTAATAATAAAAAAATGTGTGGTTTTCAATATTTTGTGTATTAAATGCTGTCGACAAAAAGGAGGAAAATCCCGTTGAGAGGGAACTAACGAGTGAACATGCAGCTCCAGAATGAAAAGATAGAACTGTTATTACCCTGTACTTCACTTGTTATTAATTCCTCTTAATAAATGATCCTGCTTGCACTGAATGTATCAATTAGAATGTGTTGCACTAGAGTTGAAACTGTTAAATGAATGTTTCTACATACAGTTACTTTTAATACATTCCTATAATACCGATCGAGGATCATAAATAAGATGACAATCGTAATAATAGTATGTCTGGCCGGTGCAGTTTTCATCTACCAGCCACGCTTTAGTATCCTGACTGTGGAGCTTTCCCCTCAGACGGATGATTCAGAGTTTTGAACTCATCTCTGAGATCTACAATGATGAAGATGATTGACGATGAAGATGCAATGTTTGCTGCTACTGAATAAACTGAGCCTCATACTTACTCATATCATTTGAAAGTGATATTTAGCCTCCTCACTCAGTCTACACTGTTTCAGCAGAATCTCACCTGTGACCTCGATACATCTCGTTAAATTTACACAAACGTCTGCATGAATACAAAGCTGGAGTTCAAAGGACACTTTATAAAAACAGCTCTAAAAGTACTTTCTTTGAATGTGCCTGTGGTTTTATAGTTATTATTATCTATGCTTTCATGTAATAGTTACATCAGCTCTCATGACATGATGATCGCTGAGAGCCACTGTTGTTACCTGAGAATCTCAAAACTGGCAAAGTCCCACTGGTAGACGCCGAGGTCTGAGCTGCAGACGATGTGGCGCCCGTCGAACTGCAGGCGAGGCTGCAGGCCGATGCTGCGGTCCTCCGACACGCACAGCGTCTTCAAACACTTGCAGTTGACTTCTCTGCCCAGAGGCCACACCTGCAGAGGGGACACGGTGTTTGAGCGGCTCGCTCACCAAACCAATGAGAAACCTGTCTTTACTCTCACAGGGCCGAGGCACGAGCGTTACCTTGATCTCATACTTATCAGCACTGAGGAGGATGTGATCACCAGGACTGTGCACCACTGACTCCACCTCGCTCTTCTGGAGGAGCACCTGACGGAGAGAACGCGTATAGACACAGGTTATAACAGAGCGTAAAGTGTTCAATGTGTAGAACCTGTGGAGCCTCTCAAACTGTAGTGACAACAAGTTGGATAAATAGATTATTTGTTTTCCATTTTTGTAAAAGAAATTATCAAAGAAATTCAACTTGTAGTTTTGTATGAGTTATAGCATTATAATTGTGTTATACTTTCCATAGCGGTGCAGGACCTAAATATATTATATATATATATATATATATATATATATATATATTACAGTGTAAATCAAAGCCACAGAGAGCAGAAACTGCTCAGGGTTCTTCAAACGTTCCTCTGTACTGAAGAACCAACACATTCCTCAGACAGTAAACAGCTTGAGAACATGGCGGACATCTGATTATTATTGAACACAATGTGTTATTTAATAAACAACATCATGAAAGCTGGAGCAGGTGCGCTGACCTTAGTGACCCACTCCGTGTGTCCGGTCAGAGTGTTGAGACAGGCGCCGGCCGTCAGAGCCCACACCTTCACCTGGAAGTCTGCAGAGCCGCTGACCAGCACGTCCAGCTCGTCGTTGTAGTCCACACTGAAGACTGAGCACACACACGGCTTTATCAGAAGCTCTCAATATCAAATGAATTCAGGTTCAAAATAAACGGCTTCTTGCACAGGATTCCTACAGCTTAAATATTTATTCGGTTTTAACGGCCAATTTTACAATAACTAAAATTATTAAAATTAAAGACACAAAAAGAAGAAACATGGAGTGGCACTACTTGATTAAGGATTCATTGTGCTGGAGTTCTCTGAGTGTCCCGCCCCAAAACTAAATTGAAGTGTTGTTGGTTTTGTTATCCTTAACAGCGTGACGTTAATGCGAGAGGCATTCAGTAAAGTATTAGTAAAGAATAGAAGCTTGAGATTTAACAATGCAATAATCGGTCTTAGCATTTTTAAGACTTCTGACAGATTAGTTTAATACGATTCAGTCCAATCTGAGGCTTTATTTTAAGATGAATAAATTGAATGCCTTTTTTAACCCTCATACAAAATCAACCACACATATGGATATGATATATGCCTCTAAAAAAAGAGCTTGTAGAGTTCATGGTCCAAGCTGCTGGATACTTTCATTCAATTTGGTTGATTTCATTTCTGTTGGTACACCTGTGTATTTTGTATACGTACTTGAACACTGTAAACTACAATGGAATGTGCTACATAACTGAAGTGTTGCTTTTCACTCCAAGCAGCCCAGAACAGATGTTTGCTGAACGCTTAAACCAACCTGCTCCTGTGTGGCCACGGAACTGCTGGATTTTAGCTCCCGTGCTCCACTCCCAGCATGCAATAGTGTTGTCAAAGGACCCGGTCACCAGCTTCTGTTCATCGAATTTCACCGCGGCGCAGGTGTGCGTCTGAATTCCATAAATGCACTGCCCAGTGCGCACGTCCCACAACTTGGCGGAGAGGTCGTCGGATCCTGAAAGACAAGAGGAAGTCTGTTTTTACTCTTAGAGCTCTAACCCGCCTCTTAGAGCTCTGACCCGCCTCCTTGAGCTCTGACCCGCCTCCTTGAGCTCTGACACGCCTCCTTGAGCTCTGACACGCCTCC